TAATAACAGAAGTATAAGCTTGATGGTCAGGCTAATAATGGGATCGCATGGTGTTGTGCTCCACCATTAGGTGATCTCAGGTGATCACCTGTTGCACCGGTGAGATCTGCGACAATCTTCGATTCATGGTGGAGATCAAACCACCATAATTTCTTGTGGTGAAACAATGTCAAATAATCGGTTTAATGTGTCACATCAGTATTTCATTATTAACGTCAAGTGATTAATTTATTACAAATCGATAACATGAATGAATGTTTTATTACAAATCGATAACGCTAATAATTAATTCATTATGTAACATCCTCAATACCGGGTTAGTGACCAAATTAAAAAGTTTCAGAAATTGGTGATTAAAGTATGATAATTGAATAGTTCAATGACTTATTGGAAATATGATGAAGGTTATTCAGTAATTATTAAATGAAATAAAGGGTAAATTAGTCATTTGACCAGAAAGATTTTTTATCTTTCTTTTAGGGTTATAAAACACGTGGGAAAGAAGAGAATTATCCAGAGTCTTCTTCTCCAGCTTCTTCTTCTCCCCGTAAGCCTCATTTAAAGGTGAGTTTAATTTCAACTGTTTAATTCTTGGATTTATAAGTTGATTTTGATTCTTGGAGTATTATATAAGCTTAAGGAAAGCTTATATAAGCTTTAAACATCAAGAATAGAGAATTAGAAAGGAAATGATATGAAGGGTGTAGAAATGAAATTTTGTTATAGAAAGGTTTTTGTAGTTCTAAAGATGGATTTGACTTGTCAAGGGTATAATTAAAAAGCTAGAAGCAATAGAATTGAATTTGGAACATGTTGAAAATTTAGTGTAATTCTTGAATTACATATGGAGAATAGGATTTTGATGTTAAAGAGGTGATTAATGAATAGGAATGAGTTTGAATATGAGTATGTAAGTTAATAATAAGAAAGGGGATGATATATGAAGTATTAAGCTGAAAAGAGTGGATTTTCAGGCATAAAAGAGGATTCTGGGCAGAGTGCATCGATGCACATTCATAGTGCATCGATGCATCAAGGTTAAAACCCAGAAATTGCTTGAAGGTGTATCGATGCATTGGTAATGCATCGATGCACTCTTTTAAAATAGAAACATTGAATGCAATTAGTGCATCGATGCATAAGGCATGCATCGATGCATCCCAGTAATAATACAACATCGAATGCATTTTATGCACCGATGCATCAGTAGTGCATCGATGCATACCTTCATTAAAAGATGAAATTGGCTTTTCTCTGAGCCTAAGGAGTGATAGTTTCGAATATATCAATCAGTATACTGATAAGTATTAATGTATTATTATGTAGATATAGAATGAAAGCTTGTTCCGGAACAAACTAAGGATTAGGATTGATTCAAAACAACGAGGCCCAGGTGAGTGCATCTTATTGTATAAGATTATATGGAAATTGGACTTGTGATAAGTCTATTCTTATAGTAATAGCTCATTAAGTCTTGATTATAAGTATGTTAACGATATGAAGTGTATGTATGTTTGATTATATGAATTTATATGTTTTGTTTGGTATGTGCTATGTGATTTATGAAAAAAATACGGTTAAGTGTTAATGAGAGAATATAAAATAAGTTATGAAATTATATGAATATAGAAGATAAGTCAAGAGATGTAGGGAAATGGAAATAGATGTTTATAAAGAGTCATAGGAGAACAAATATAAGTAATATGATAATGAAATATAAGACTATGTGAATACATGGTTATGAGATAAAAGATGTAAGAATAGGAAAATATGATGAGAGTGAGTTCATGAGAAGTGATATGAACTAGGTAAACATGAGTTGGACAAGTACATAGTGATATGATCCATCATGGGAATTAGTAAAATAGAGCTTTTGATTTAATGAGAGTTAAGGGAACTAAATAAGATTGAATTATAGAATGAAATGGGAATAATATATCAATTAAGAAACTTGAATATAAAGGGACGATACGAATATGCAAGATAAGTATATGCTAAATATCTATGGAGCTATATGAAAAGATTATAATGAAATTATGAAATTGAATTAAGTAAATAGATTAAATTATTACCTATTAAAAATACTATATATATATATTTAGAAATACGATATAAGCTATGTAAAAGTGTTCTAGGTGTTTCTATATGTTATATGAAGTATATGATCATATGTGAACAAGATATGATAAGTATGTTTACATGAATAAATGTGATTGGGTGAGAAATGATAGAAAGTATATGAAAACATGTATAGGTGAATTAGCTTTGTAATTAGGTAATATATGAAATCATAACTATGAATTATGTGATGTGAAAGTAATCTATGTGATTATATGTTATATGAATACAAGAACATGAGATATGTGACATGTGAATTATATGGAAATGATCTACGTGTAAGTGAACTATGTGACTATGTGATAATATGAAAAGAAGTTATGTGATACGTGATATGTGAAAGTGAATTACATGTTTATGTGAATATTTGAAATGAAATAAATGATAATGCCCATGTTATGTGTCATGAGAGCTAGGGGTATAGTTGGCATGCCAAGAGTCGAGGGTTCTACGCGGTCCTTCGGGATATATATATATTCTGTGGAACATGTGTGAAGTCTTGTAAGACACATACTTGATCCCTAGTATATGTATATGATTCTTAAGGAATAATATGTGGTCCTTATGGACATTATTATATGGCACTACGGTGCAATTCTACGTGGCACTTCGGTGCAATTATACGAGCTGTGGTGACAGTATTAGTGCACAACCTCAATGTACTCACATACCTCTATTCTCAATAATATACATGGGCAATTGAAATACAAACTTTAAAGTGAAAGTGGTACAAGAAGGTAAGTTTCGTATGTGCATGATATGATTATATATGTTATCATGTAATAGATACATGCATATTGAAATGTCATGATCAAATATTTAGAATACATATTCATCGAATGAAATGGGTATTGATTGGAAAAATGTATGATATTATATGATAGATATGTTAATGATAATGATAGTATTTGTACAGGTATGTGTTTTGTTATATGAAATGTTCTATGGTTTTTTTATATGTTTATATGCCTCACTAAGTCAACGACTTAGCGTGTGATTGTTTCACACGTAGGTTTCGAGAAGAGTAAAGAGCAATATGGAGCAAGACCGGTCAGTTCTCCTTACCAAATGTCAGATCAGAAAAGAGGTGAATAATACGTATTTTAATAAATAAAGTTTTAGTTGGCATGTAATCAAAAGAATATATATCGTATAAGCTCTGAATAGTTTTGTAAACGTTTTGAATAAGTTCAATGTTATAAAAGTTTTTAAATTACTCTCTATTTTATATGAATAAATGTTTGAAAAGACAATGTGACACTTCGGACTCGTATCCGGGTCGGATACGGGTTGGGGGTGTTACACATTAGTTTTTAAACTTCAATAAAAAAAACAAGGGTAAAGTATACAAGTGGTCCCCCGACTATAAAATATTACTTTATTAAGTCACTTGACTATTAACAGTTATAAAATGGTTCATCAATTATAGGGAGTTGCTTTATTAAGTCATTTGATTATTAAAAGTTACAAAATGTTCACTCATTTATTCATTATGTTCCAAACTCATTTTTTTTATTAAAAATTAATGGTTAATTTTTTTAATAGAAAAAGACAAGTTTGGAACATAATGAATATTTGAGTGGGTATTTTGTAACATTTAATTGTCAAGAGACTCAAAAAAATAACTTCCTATAACTGGAGAACTATTTTTTAATTTTCAATAATAAAATGACTTAATAAAACAATATTCTATAGTAAAGGGACCATTTATAACTTATTCAAACATAAATGACAATTATGCTTTCTGGATATATAATCACTTATGTTTTGTCACTTTTGGTCACTGATTTTAAAAAACATAAGATATTGTCACTTATGTTTTTATTTAATTAAGATGTGGCCACCCCAAGCTAATTGTCGTTAACGATTGTTAAGTATTTTGATATAACCACACACTTGGTCCCTATCATTTACATATTCTTTCAATTTAGTCATACTTTTAATAAATAAATAAATATTTTTAAATTAAGTTAATAATAAAATATATTTAATAAGTTAATATAAAAAATATTTTAAATTAATATATAAAAATTATATTATATATAATTTGGGTCACGGGTACCCGGTTCATATATAATTTTTATTTTTTAAATATATATATATTCTAAAATTTAAAATTTAAAAGTCTATAATATATATATTCCACATATAAAGTTTAAAAATTCAAATTACATAATTGAATTAAAATTTATTAAAAATTAAAATAAAGAAATATAATTAAATTTCAAATATTTTAAATTTAAAATAAATATTTTTAAAAATAATTTAGAACGTTAACGTGAAATAATTTAAGAAATTAAGAATTTAGAACGTTATGGTGTCAAATTTTAAGAAATTAGGGTTTTAGAATATTAGAGTCAAATAGTTTGAGAATTATGAATAAAAATTTTAAAATAAAAATAAAAATATATAATAAATAGACTACAGGGTCGGAGGGTACCTGTTAACCAATATTTTTTCTCATGCTTGACCTATAAACCCGAAAATATAGCGGGTCAAGCACTCGACTCGAAAAATCGAATATATTTATTATAAATACCTTATATTTTTTAATTGGGTCGACGGGTCGAGTATTTTTTAACACTCTTACGTGGCATGACATGTGACATCGTTCAATTGGAGGATTAAATTTATTTTAATTTATTAAAAGTATAATTAAATTAAGAGAAAATATAAATAACATAAGCCAAATGTATGATTATATAATAAATATTTAACTGCTGTTAATGATAGTTAACTCGAAATGATATTTTAATTAAATAAATAAAATAAATATTTTTTAATTAATTAAAAATAAAAGTAAATATATTTTATATTTTTTGAAATAAATGATCAAAAGCGGAGAAAAACACAGACATAAATGATCATCTCGTCTCTCTTTGCACGTAGCTTCTACCCGTTCGGCCGTTCCCAGACTCGTCTTTCTCTTCCTCCGATTTCATTTCTATCCTCCTCCAACCCCTCTCTTTCCGTCAAGTTTCCGACTTGTGAAACCAAATAAGAAATCAAACAAGGTGGATTTGGAAACCCTAAGCTTAATCTGAACATTTCTACTTCAGTTATGAGATTTTAAGTTATGGCTCCGTTTGCGTCATCTTCCCCCTGGATGTGTCCCTGCCTCTGCATCACTCTGCTATATTTGGTTTTCTGTTTTCCATCCTGCCGCCTCTTTCATATGTAATATCTCATACTCTCTGTTTTTGCATTGCTAGAGACGATGATGTCTTCTGATGGCTCAGAATACCGTCAACAGTCGGATTAGTTCTTTAATTATTTTTTTAGTTTTGATTGTGTCAAAAATAACTTTTGTTAAGTTTTCTTGACTTCTTGTAAAAAAATGATGTTTTTCCTCGCCGAAAATGACTCCTCCATCTTAATTTATTGTTTAATTAAGAATAGTAGTGTTTGGGGCAGTAATATTAGTATATACCCTTCTTATTTTCATTGATATTTTGATGAGATTTGTTGATATATTATGTCTGGCCTATCAGGAACTGAGAATAGTATGGACACAGTTGCTGATGTAGGCTGGTATATTCTTTCTGAAGATCAACAAATTGTTGGCCCTTATGCAATTTCTGAGTTGCGAGGTAAGTTTTGTGCTTAACCCGTGTTTTTAAGTCATTATGAGCATTCAAAGTATGGAATCAGTGTCTTGAGTTTTGTGCCAATGTATTATCGATTGCATTAGAAAAAAAAATCAGAACATTTTTTTTCTAATTGTTATCTGTAGTAATTTGTGAGTTTTATGAAGTTGTTTGATTTGGATACTGCAAATTTACTGGTGATTTTCTCTCTCCTTGAATTTCAGTTCCAGTAATCAATAGCATGGTTTCAGGACACTTGTTCCATCTGTTACATGTTCAATTGGTCTAATGAGCTATTGAACCATTTGATTCGCTTATTTGCTTCACCTGCACAGAGCATTTTTTAAATGGATACCTCTCCGAAAGTACACTTGCATGGTCTGAAGGGAGAAGTCAGTGGCAACCATTGTCCTCAATTCCTGAGTTTGTTTCTGTAATTTCTCATCAGACCAACAATATTTCTGCTACAGGTTAGATTAACTACAGGTTGCGCTATTTATGATTTATGAGTGATTAGAACCTTTCTCTTAATGAGGTTTTAACTTTTGATGTTTACAGTGCCCTCAGGCGATGGTGTTACTCTCTTGAACAGAATGGAGGGTATGAACTCAAATGCTGGCTGATATATATATTTTATGTTTATTGCAAAATAGTCACCATTTTAAGAGGGCTCCTGACCCTGTAATGTGTTGTGCAGTGCCATCCAATGATCCTGGTGCCAGTGATGAATTTGAGAAGTGGCAGAGAGAGATTAGAGAGGCAGAGGCTGAGGCAGAACGTTTGAAAAATGGATCTGTTTCTATAAGTACTGGTGATGGCTTCAGTTTTGATGACCAGGATAGGCCTCTAACACCGCCAGAAGGTGAAGAAGAATTTACTGATGATGATGGAACCAGGTACAAGTGGGATAGAAGTCTGAGAGCATGGGTTCCTCAGGTTGGTGCTTCAGTCATTTTGAGAAGTGATAGGCATAATAAAAGTCTGCCTGATTGAATTTCTCTTTTTTATTTGATATACCTCTACTTTGTAATATTTGAGCATTCAAAAACAAACATTAACCTTAAGGAAATATAAGGGTTTAAATGCCTAAAGTGAACGTTGCACCCTTGATAACATTGCCGACGAAATGTTTTCCAAACTAAGCCATCAAAGATGTGTATGAGAAATTAACTAATATGATCAATTCTATGCACCTTAATTACAACTTAAAGTATACTTTGGCAGTCGCTACCTTGAGAATATGTTTTGCATAAATTTTTAGTGGAGAAAGTAGCTTAAATTAATGTAGAAGTCGGAATTCTAATATGATGCTCTTGCATAAAGGTTTGGTACCTTGAATTGAATGAACTGATATATAAGGTTTATAGGGGTGTTTTTAATGATTATACATTGATTATGTTCTTATTTCAACAGGACTATTTTTTTATAAGATATTTCAACAGGACTATGATTTCGTTTATTCATTTATTGGTGATATGGAGGACCGACTCAGTTTTGCTTCTGGATTTTTCTTTAGGTTTCCATTTTAAGATGTGATAAAGAGTAAACTGGAAGCAGTGAAAACTATATTAATAAGAAATAGACATGATTTTCAGAGATTTTTGAGGACATGGTCTTAATAGTGTCCAAGGAAGTGATATCATACTTATAATCGACACCATTTATTGGCTAAATTCTTAGTATCATTGTCTCTGTTGGAAATTCCTTCTTTATTCTAAAAAAATAGTTTTGAATTGTGTGATTACTGATAACGACTAATAGGATGACGCATCAACAAAAAATGAGAACTATGGAGTAGAAGAGATGACATTCTTGAAAGAAGATGAAGTTTTTCCAACTGTAAGTGCTATTGATGCTGCTGATGCCTCTGTTAGAGAAGATGTTAATGGAAGTGGTGAGAAAATGGAAGTTAGCTCTAGTCCCAAGAGAAAATTGTTGGAAAAACCAGTTGATAAGAAGGTATCTTTTCTTAATTTGGAGTTCTTTTTAACTGTTCCTGGTTACAATTCTTCATCTTACATGCTGTTCCCAAGTAGCATTACAGTCATAATCCTTGATCTTTTTGTACCACATTTATCATATTAATGTCCTTTTGGTGCAATGTTTTGTGTCCTTTTCTAAAACTTAACAAATGGCTAGGTAAGAGTCCTCTTGATGCATTAGCTATAAGTGACACATTTCTTTTAGTAGTATTGTACTACAAAGAAAAGAATGATCTTGAATATGAAGTATAGATATTGTAAAGTTAATTGGACTGAACCAATTGTTTGTATATATGCTATGAGCTAAGTTTGCCATAGTGCTTACTGTTTAAACCACTATTGCAGGAAGCTAATAAACCTCCCGATTCGTGGTTTGAATTGAAAGTAAATACACATGTCTATGTGACTGGACTGCCCGATGATGTTACTGCAGAAGAAGTAATATTCACTTTACGACCTAAATGTCTTCACTTCTTTCTTTTCCTCTTCCCTCTTAGCTAGTCTCTAATTTTGGAAACATGTGGCAGTTGGTTGAGGTGTTCTCCAAGTGCGGAATAATCAAAGAGGTAAACATCTGTTATTCATTCTTTATTTTTTTGACTTCATTTGTGAATGGTTTAACAATTGAAGTCCTCTCTTTTTTTTCGCCTTCAAATACATGGAAGTTCCTCTTTAACATATCTTCAGAAAGTCAACTAACAAACTACATATATTTTGATGTAGCGCTGCATCTTGACTTTAGGAGTTTTGGGTGACATTTTTGCTTGCATATTGATTGACTAGATTAGTATGATATGATGATCTATAACATTGTTCAAAGTGCTTACTGGTTGTTATTTTGGTGTACTATATAAAACCCTTGGAAACATAAGATGTGAAGGAAGATAAAAAAATATTCAAAGCAAACTGTCTTTATTAATTATTAGACTTTGTTTATGCATTGTTAAAACAGTTGAAGCTTTCTTAGCATACATAATATATTCTCTTCACAAAAAAGAGGATAAACAATGAGTAAACATTGTTATCGATGCATTATATCCCGATTTTACATACTTTTGAGTTATTTCCATTGCATATTGATTCTAGACAAGAAAGATGCTAAGTTGTCTGGGTTTCTTTAAAAAATTCTGGCCTGTTTTGAAGGATCATTTAATGAAGTTTGTGGATGACTTTCACAGAGGGATGAGTTGGGAGCATGGGGTCAACCATGCTTTCATTACTTTGATTCCTAAAAAGCTCAACCCTGAATTTATTGAAGATTACAGACCAATTAGTCTTGTTGGAAGTTTGTACAAAATTATCTCTAGAATCTTATCGAGGAGATTGGTTTCTGTTATTAAAGTTTTGATCAGCCCATTGCAGTTCGCCTTTATTCCGGGTAGGCAGCTCATTGATTATGCTTTTATGGCAAATGAATCTATAGATTACTGGAGGAAAAAAGGAAGGAAAGGAGTTGTTTTTAAAGTAGATTTTCGCAGAGCCTTTGACTCAGTGGAATGGCCAATTATTTTGAGGTTATTGAAGATATTGGGTTTTGGAGACAAATGGATTTCTTGGATGGATTACTGTATTTCTTCTGCTTCAATTTCAGGTCTAATTAATGGTTCTCCTACTCAAGAATTTCAGATGGGCAAAGGGCTGAGACAATGTTGTAGTCTATCTCCTCTTCTGTTTAATATTGTTGGTGAGCTATTGAACTTAATGTTGAGTAAGGCTGCTGCCCTTGGTCTTTTTGAAGGATTCAATATTGGTATTGAAGAGAATCATTTTAAGTTGACTCATCTTCAGTTTGCAGACGACTTAATCTTATTTTGCAGAGATTCCTCAACTCAAATTCTGAATTTAAATAGAGTATTGAGGTATTCAGTTTAATTTCAGGGCTCCATCTTAATCTATCCAAGAGTAAATTGTTTGGTGTTAACGTGGCAGAGGACAGATTGAAAGATTTAGCACTGGAAGCAGGTTGTGGGGCGGGATCTTTTCCTATGACTTATCTAGGTCTTCCGATAGGAACAAAGAAAAATTCAGAGTTATTGTGGGAACCAGTTTTACAGAAAGTTTTCATCAGATTAGCAGGTTGGAAAGCTGCTTCTTTATCGTTGGCTGGAAGATTGGTGTTGATAAAATCGGTGTTGTCCTCCTTACCTATTTTTTACCTCTCTATTTTCAAAATTTCGTTTAAGGTCAATCAGAAAATTAACTCAGTATTGGCAAGATTTCTTTGGGGTGAAGAATCTGACAAGAAGAGGTGAATTGGAGTACGATTTGTCAACCATTGGAAGAAGGAGGCTTAGGAGTATTGGACTTGAGTATGATTAATAGAGTTTTGCTAGGGAAATGGGTTTGGAAGTATGCAAATGACAAAGACTCTCAATGGAAAAAACTGATTTGTTGTATTCATAATGTCAGTATGGAGTCTCTGTCTATAGGCAAGGCTGTTTCTCTTCAAGATTCATGGGTTTGGAGAGGTATTCGGAGTAACTATGAGAAAAAGGACGAGATTGGGGATTGCTTGAGATCCAATTCGAAGATCCAAGTGGGGAATGGTAGGTCAATTGATTTTTGGAATGATATTTGGGTTAATGGATCTACTCTTAAGATTCAATTTCCTAGAATCTTTGCTCTGTCGACTAACAAAAGGGGAAAATTGGTTGAATTTGGTGGATTTGTAGCTAATGGTTGGGTTTGGAACATTCAGCTAAGGAGAAATCGTTGTGACTGGGAATTGGATCAGTGGCTTTCCTTAATGCTTTTGATTGACAACATAACACCAAATGAATCAGTGGATGATTTTCTAGGGTGGTCAGGAAAAGGGGATGGTTTGTTCTCGGTAAAATCTTGTAGAATGACTATCTCAAGCAGAACTGGAGGACATTTTCAATGGAAGAAATGGGTGTGGTCTGGATTAACTCCTCCTCGAGTGGAAACATTTCTATGGCAGTTTACTCATCAGAAATTGGCTGTTAGAGTGGAATTGAAGAAAAGAGGGGTCAATCTTGAAGATGTTTTGTGCCCTTTTTGCCACAAATATGAGGAATCAATTCATCATCTGTTTTTTTCATGCTCGGTTGCAGAGGAGTTGTGGTATAGATTTTTAAGGTTTTGGGATATCTCTTCGATCATGCCCCAAGATCCTCCTTCCTTTCTTTGCTCTTGGTCTTATCTAAGGGAGTGTTCTAATATTTGGAAGTTCATTCCAGGTGTTGTTCTATGGTCTATTTGGAAAGCTAAGAATGCAGTGGTTTTTGAAAACTGACATTAGATAATTCATCCCTATTCTTCATTTCTAGGTTTAGGTTGGCTAAATGGTTTTTAGCGAAATTTCCTCATGTTAATATTCAGGTTGACCTACTAGTAGGGGATCCATCGCTTGCAGACAATTTGCGTATAAAATCCTACAATAAGAAGATGGTTCTTAACTGGTCTCCGCCTCCTTCGGATTTTTTTAAATTCAATGTTGATGGAGCGGTAAGAGGTGATGGGCTGCAGGGAGGTATTGGAGGAGTCTTGAAAGATTCGGAATGTTCTACTTTAAATACCTTTTCTTTTGCGGTGGGACCTGGTCCTCCTATGTTAGCTGAGCTGAAAGCTATTAAACAAGGGATTGATCTATTCATTTCTTCCGAATGGGCTTTGAAGGGAAGACTAATCCTTGAGACAGATTGTAAAATAGCAGTTGACTGGATTTTGATGCCATTTTCTGCCCCTACTTTTTTCAATACTTTAGTTGGGGAAATTGGGGCCTTAGTTTCTGCTAGGGGTATTATTGTTAGATGGATTCCTAGGACATGCAATTGGGAGGCTGATAAGCTAACTAAAGAGGGTATTGGTTGATGTTTGAGCTTTATGGTTGTTTTGGTTTGTATTATATTTCGGACAGTTTATTTAGTAAGCTGTAATCTTATGTAATCATGGTTTATTAATATAATGAGGTACACTTTTCCTCCTTCCGCTAGTTGTCTCTTTCACAAGAGCCAACTATGAGGGAGGTTTTTAATGAGACCTCCTATTCCTATAAAAAAAAAAAGATGTTAAGTTGTCCAAGTGCTCTGCATATTTTCTTTTTATGTATTTATCCCAACTTGAAATTCTTAGCAACATAGAATAGAGTGGGAAGGGGGAAAATGGCTGAAAATTAGTCCTGTGTAGTTTAATTACCTTTTTGTTGTTATACAAAGTAATGACGGCATGTGTGGAAGTGTTATCACTAAGTTTATATGTCAACTATAGTTGTTAAATGGTGTTATCCTACATTGATTAAGTATTGGGTTTCTTGGGGTTTTATATTAAAGTTGTCCCTCCACCTATTACCAATTGGTTGTAGGTTCAATGCTACAACATTATATCTGAGTCCAGGTCGAATTATATTCTTCCTGCCTAATCTTGTGTGAGGTTGAAGATGCCTAGTGAAGTTGTCAATGTGGATGCCTTGTGAACAACATATGATGGAAGTGTTTTAGTGTTATTCCATATTAGTTAGGTATTTTTTTATAGTATTTTATTAAAGTTGGCCCTCGACATATTACCAATTGGTTTTAGGTTGGATGCTTTAAAAATTGTAAATCACAGGCCTTCCCTAAGGTTCATAGACTTGGTTTGGTGGTGTATTATTTTGTTCATCTTAGTTCAGGTTCAACTATACAATTTTTTTCTTTATACTGTCGTGTACATTTTCCATGTCCTATACATCTGAATAGCTAGATAGGAGCTCAGTGCTCACCAATGTTTGCATGTGAGATATTGTTCTGTTATTGCATGGTGCTGTCACTAGATGTTTGAACATTATATTTCCTTTGCAAAAGTTTCAATGAAATAACTTCATGACATTTTTCGTTCATATCTGAATGTGCAATTTTGCTTGATCTCTGTTTGGGGACATCACCCCATCACTGATTTGGGTAGCTAAACTGTTGGGGTTAATCTAAAATCCACCTAAAAATAATCTGATGATTGTTTCAATGGTAACTAGTATTTTTAGTTGCACACGTCATGAGTCTGTGTGGCTAATTCTATAGGATCCTGAATCAAAAAGACCTCGTGTGAAGATCTATGTTGACAAGGAGACAGGAAGGAAAAAGGGGGATGCACTTGTTACATATCTAAAGGTAGTTTCCTTCATGTTGTGCTCCTTCTGTATAACATTTTTAAATTTTTTGCTAATTTTCAAGTTTTTTTGCATATGTGCCAGGAGCCCTCTGTTGCTTTAGCAGTTCAAATTTTGGATGGAACTCCTTTTCGTCCTGATGGAAAGATCCCTATGTCAGTCAGCCAAGCTAAATTCGAGCAGAAAGGTGCAATGATTCGTGCTGTTACATTCACTTTGTATTGTGTCATTTGAGTTATTTTATACTTTTCTTTTCACTTAACATGGAGTGATTGAATACATTTCTCTTCATTCAGTGAAGTTATAGAACTATTTTTAAAGCTCTTATACAGTCTTGCAGTACTGATAAGCTGCTATTGCAATAATGCAGGGGATAAATTCATAACCAAGCAAGTGGACAGCAGGAAGAAAAAGAAGCTGAAGAAAGTTGAGGAGAGGATGCTCAGCTGGGGTAGGTTCTCATTTAGCATATTATAGTGACTAATTATAATGATCATAAAGTTGGTCTTCATACTTTCCCGTTTGGCTTTCCCTTCTAAATTTTTATCATAGGAAAACAATGTGGATTTGATATGTAATATTTATATCATACCATTTTGTCTGTAGATAGAAAAATTTATGATGCTGACCAAATTATCTATTCCCTACAAAGCTCATTCCCTTGCTTTTTTTTTGTTATTTGTTTATTTTTATTTTTGATAGAATAGGGAGACCTCATTAAAAACCCCTTCATACTCAACGAAATATGAAAGTTTCGTCGAGCATTGGAAGGAGGAAAAGAGTGTCTCATAATTTTATTGTTGGAAGGAGGAAAAGAGTGTCTCATAATTTTATTGCAACATCGAACATTACAACTTAGAAATCATCAGAACATTACATCCACTATAAACCAAACAATACAAAACCCCCCAAATCTAACACATAAGTCCTACACACAACTTAGAAATCTAACACATAATTTTATTTGTTTATTCTTTGTCAAATATCATATATATATATTTCAGCCAATGGTTAGAACTTAGAGCTTTCTCTAATTTTTGCGTTATCTGAATTTCTCTTTGTTTTAAATAAGTTAGTTTTGTTCTTTTCTTGTTGAATTTAGTACTATTAAAATAGATATACTCTACATTGTAGTCAACACCAGCCTGCTAGTATGAACGAACGTTGGTGGTAAAGAAATATGCACAAATCATGAGATTGAATGATTCAGAATTTTGTGCAATGCTTTCTATTGGATTTGTCTGGCTTTTTTGGCATTGGTCCTAAGAAACCTTTTTTTCAAATAGTTCCACTTGTCAGCTTTTCCTTGTGCAGCATTTGCATCCTAAATGCTATTTTTTAATATAATGATGCAGGTGGCCGTGACGATGCAAAGTTGTCAGTTCCGGCGACTGTTGTCTTCGTAACATGTTTACACCTACCGAAATGAGGGTATGCTTGAAACCATGATTAAAAAATGCATGACAGCATTCCTCGAATTGCATTTGACTGTATTCCAGTACTTACTGTTTTCTGCCAACTATTTTATATCTTATATTACTATCTAATATTCTCCTTTGAATGCAGTTATTATAAATAGTATGAATAATATCAGGTCCCTACCGCTTTTACTTATTTATTTGACATGGTTTCTAAGTTGACGTTCTCCCTATCTCTACAGGCAGATGAGAATTTGTGTTCAGAGCTGGAGGAAGATATTAAAGAGGAATGCTTAAAGCTTGGTCCACTGGACTCGGTCAAGGTAGTATAATCTTTTACCATTATCACATCTGAATAATTTTGATAGCCATACTCATGTTTGGTCTTGGCACATCTGAATTACGTGTTCTGTTCTAGGCCATGTGAGATAAATAGTTATACACATACTTGGTATGGGCTGATAATTCCTGCATTTAGGCATTGGTGGAGAACTATGATTGAACTATCCTTGAACTAAGTCGAGGCTGATTAATTTTGACTTCTCCCGTTTTGTATTCGCTTTCCGTTTAGTGTGTAAGTAGTCATGAACTACAGATTTTATTCCGTGATCTGTCTATTCATCTATTTGTCTTCTCAACTGAACCACCTACCTAGTTCCTTCTAAATGATTATTAGCTCAACCATGCAGACTGCAAAGTGATTGTTCCATATTTAATCATATGTTCTCTTTTTTCTATGTTTTGGTTTCTTTTGTCCTTCAGGTTTGTGAGAACCATCCCCAAGGTGTTGTTTTGGTCAAATACAAGGATAGGAAGGATGCTCAAAAGTGCATAGAGTTGATGAATGGACGATGGAAAATTTTATCTTGGAAAGTTTACTTTTTTCGATTAAAAAATAACAGTTATGGTACGACATTTCCATCAGAGAACCGAAAGAGGGGGTGACTGTACGATTTTAAGAAGAAAGTTCTAGTGTATTAGTCACCCCTAAAACACAAAGTCGTATGCTTAAATAATATTAACTGCTGTAGTTGATTCTCTATGCTAGTTCCTTTAAACATCTAAAATGCAACAACTTGTGTTCTGTTAGAACCAATACTATTTTTTTCTGACCAGTTTTTACTCACCTGGTTGTCTGGTTCCCTGAATACATTTTGTAAAATTTGCATCATGGATTACTCTGAGAACATTTCCTAGATGATGTTTGATTCTCTAGAATGAAAATGGCACCTAATTCCTTTTGATTTTCATTGAGCTTAAATGTTGATTGGTCTAATAATGGAACTCTTACAAACTAGCACGTACTGTATCGCGGGATTTTATCGTATGTTCGTTATTTTCTTATTTACAGAATTATTGAGGTGTTTTTTTGGTTTGGTTTAGGTTTGGTGGGAGACAGATACATGCAAGTGAAGATGATGGAACGGTTAATCATGCTTTGGTGCGGGATCTGGACGGGGATGCCGTTCGACTCGAACAATTCGGTGCTGAACTTGAAGCCGAATGATTTGGCTCATTGCCCAGGACTTTGGGATATATATTTGAACCCCACTGGACTCTTGTTTTTGTTTTGTGGCACTAGTAAGCTCTGCCTTTGTATCAAATGAGAACTCCTATTTAGATACCATTATCCATGTTTAGCAATTTCGATCTTGGATCCCCTGGTCCTATACTCCTATTTATATTCCCCCCCCCTTTTAATTTTAACCAATAAAATAAAGACACATGTCATCAAATTAGAAATTTATAAAATTATTTAGAATTAAAATGATCGAATTGAAATGATTTGTGTGGATATTGAATGTTAGATTTATTGAATTATTTTTTGAATTAAAATTAATTGATAAAATATATAAATTTTGAGAAAGAAAAAACTATTATGCCATGTTGCTTATAATTTCCTTTATGTAGGAGTATTACTAGTAATTAAATTTATTGTACACATTTTTCGTATTGGGACTATGAGATATTTCAAATATAAATGCCGCAATTGGTTCCAAGGTTTACACCATGTTCCGTTGAAATATTACCACAAAAAAGTAAACTCAAACTCTTTAACAAATAATCAACACAAGCCGGCAAAATTATTCATTTTTTTTGGTATAACCACCGGTATCTGATCTATTTGGATCAGGTACCGTAGAGGCAAGACGACCTTCATAATTCGATTTATTCTATTTGTAATCGTGATATTCTTTGAGGGATTTAATGACTCACCTTATTAAATCAACTAGTTATTGGAGCGAAATTATTCATCTTTGATATAGTTTCATGAAACTATGCATATGAACAAAATCAAACGTAACTCGATATTAACGAAGCGTGAAAGAGAGTTTGAAGAAAGAAATGTCAAGTTCAATAAATCTCGAAACAGAAAATGAAGGAAACTCGCAAACATCAACAATCAAAACAGTAAATCTTACATATGAAACCACCGCCGACGATCACCAAAACAAAAACAGAAAAAGGAGACTCGCAAACATCAACAATCAAAACAGTAAATCTTACATACGAAACCACCGAGGTCGAGATCAACAAAACACAAAACAGAAAATAAGGAGACTCGCAAACATCACAATCAAAACAGTAAATCTTACATATGAAACCACCGTCGACGAGATCACCAAAACAAAAACAGAAAAAGGAGGAGACTCGCAAACATCAACAATCAAAACAGTAAATCTTACATACGAAACCACCGAGGTCGAGATCACCAAAAAAAACTAATCCTCCTCGTACCAGTTTTACAGAATTATTTTTGGTTTGGGAGTAATAGGTTAGAACTGACTGCTAATTTTCAAATTCATCAACAATTATTTGTTATCTTCGGGGAGAGAGCGGGATAGTTTACGGTAAGAGGCTTAAAATAATATAAAGTGTCACCAAATTAAATAAACTTCGATGTTACATGAGTTATTACTAATTTAATCCAACATTTTGAGTAAATTACACGATGTTCACCCAATTTATAACATGTAATTATCACATTTTCAATTACACAATATTGTCCAAATCGTAACCATTTATGTAATCGGGTAACATTTAGTCATCTTCCCTTCAATTTACCTTACAATCTTTAAGTCCTTAAATTTGAAAATCCCAGAAAAGAGTGCCCAGAAATTAATTGCAAAACATCATATATGGGGGGCAGACAATCACAGCAGCAGTGTTCAAAATATAGGTTAAACTATGCATTTAATACTTAAACTATTAATTTTAATCCGTTTTAATACCTAAACTTTTAATTTTTTCAAAATCATACTTAAATTTCAGTTTTCATTTCATTTTATTACCTGCCATTAAAAACTTAAAGCGTTTAATACTTAAACTACTAATTTTGGTTCGTTTTAGTATTTGGACTTTTATTTTGTTCAAAACTTAACGTTAAATTTTAAACAGGATACTAAAATGAAACAACAATTAAACTTTAGATATGATTTAAAAAAATTGAAAGCTCGGATACTAAAACGGACTCAAACTGATAATTTAGGTACTATGCGTAATTTACCCTAAAATATATTTGCAAACACTAACAAGTACCTCTGGCAAATATCTAAGCAACAAAAATCTTCGAAGCAGTCGAATATATATTTTTTTATAAGCGTTGAAGGTATCATTAAAAAGCCCCTTCATGATTAAAGGAGCTCGTAGAGCAGCCTCATTAAGAGTCGAATATAATTAAATACATCCAGCAAAAAAAAAAACCACAGTAAACTGACATTCTCCACCCCCCCCAAAAGCACATGACGACGACCACGATGATACTAATTCAAATCCTACATATGCATATGCATAAAAGCATCACAACAATCCCACATTTCACCACTGACCCAGACAAGAACATCATTTCCTTTATCCATCCACTTTGATCGCAACCATCAACCATCCTAGTATCGATCACGCCTGAAATACAGAAAACGGGTTAAAACAACAATTCGATCTTATTTTGAATCACACCAGAAAAAAAACCAACCCTCGACACCTAAAAAGGATGAATTAAAGATGACCAAAGTAATTATCAACATCTAAAATAACCACAGAGCCCATCCCTTGTGACTATTATGCGTTAAACTTTATTAATAGCAGATGATTGTTTTAAAATCCTTGTCAAGTCATGCCTATAAGAACAATGAAAAAAGATATTAAGCTTTGCCAGACCTATAAAAAATAATGTACCTGTGCCTATCGTAATCCCTGGAATGTTCCGTAGATCGAGAACGTGACCTGCGACGACTACTTGAATCATAACCGCGTGAACGCTCATAGTCTCTCTCACGGTCCCAATCATATCCACGATCTCGTTCATGATACCTGTCCCGATCCCTGCTCCTATGATCATAATCCCTCCCTCGATCACGGCTCTCTCCTCGGTCATGATCCCGACTGGGTTCTCTTTCATGATCCCTACTCCGTTCCTTCGATCTTCCATCAGTAATTAGAAACATTAGAGAAATATGGAAGAAAATGAACTCTCTGGCAGGCCCCTTTCCAAAATAAGAGGGACAAAACAGAATTAAAAGACGAGAACATAGTGTACCTTCTGTCATCATGTGGATCAAGTTTGCGGCTCTTGTTTCTTGCCTCCTGACAAAGATAATTACCAAGAAAGTGCTATTGAAACCATTTCTGAATAACATGAAACGCTTCTCAAACTTTTATATGCAATGCACAAGGACTATATAGTAAAACTTTTAACGCTAGGCATAAGAAAGTAAGCCTTAATGTCTTGAAACCATTAAGCCATAGATAGGAAAGCAGAACAGAAAATGCCTATATTAATATCATCTTACTCCAAATACCTCATATAACCAGTTGTGCAACAAAGCCCCATGCACACACCAACATCAGCCTTTTCTTAGCAGTGAAAAGGAACAGAACTACAGAAACTTGAGAGCCAGCGTTGATCATATGACAACAACGTGCAAATATGTGGCCATGCAATTTTAGATTATTTTTGCAGCTTATGTTCATTTTCAGCAGTCCAATATAGTAAGATAAGCAAAGAGCTATAAGTTAGATTTGAAGTAGACAAGTTCCTTCTCCTCCAATCTATGCACTAATCTATGAAAAAAAAAACCCCGCTTTTCAGAGTTCGGTAGATTATAACCACAAAGATCAGAAAATGGAAGGGTATTATTCACTCCGAGGTAAGAAAAACTCACAGATGACTTAGTAACTGAGAATCGGTATAGAAGAATGTGAAACATTATACCAGGGCACCTGAACCAACATATCCACATACCAACTTAATGAAGTCTCAACACAAGATATATAAAAGAATATATCTATCCTACTAAGTACAATTGCATCTATTTGATTTATTCCTTCAATTCATTATGCAAAAGCATTAAATTGCATGAGAACTAAAGCACAACAGTAAACACACAGTTCAGAAGTTGTTGCAAGTGAACTAGCGACTTGGACATCTTGGAAATCCCTACTCAGTACAAAAAACTAAGAGCTAAGACACTAGAGTGTAGATAAATCGTCTCACCTGAAGCTCTGCCAGTTTATCACGGATTTGCATGTAACCTAAATGAAGCTTGCCTCCAAAAATATATCTATCCTACTACCTATTTGATTTATTCCTTCAATTCATTATGCAAAAGCATTAAATTACATGAGAACTAAAGCACAACAGTAAACACAGTTCAGAAGTCGTTGCAAGTGAACTAGAGACTTGGACATCTTGGAAATCCCTACTCAGTACTAAAAACAAAGAGCTAAGACACTAGAGTGTAGATAAATCGTCTCACCTGAAGCTCTGCTAGTTTATCACGGATTTGCATGTAACCTAAATGAAGCTTGCCTCCAAAATGATCAGCTAAACGTCGGTCACTGGAAGGACAAAAGAGAAGAAAAATATCTCACCAAAAAGATTGACATATACAACAGACAAGTATTGTGTAGCTTCCTTATAACTTATTATCTAGCAATAGCATAATCTACAAGCAAATAAAACAGGAAAATAAAAAGACGCACATTATGTAGCTGCAAAAATTATCCTCGTAAAACAGGGCCCAAAAGCTTGCTGATATTGCATTATAATAATCGTGTCAAACGATTAAACACTTGAAACCCCATATGTTGATTTTTTTAAGCCCTCAAAACAAGCCCAAACAACAAGATAATAGCTACGGGAGAATCAAATTCACCTATCATAAACACTTAAAAATGCTCCGCAAATGTCACAAACACGAAGCTTCTGATCAGTCTGTGCAAACATGGCAATCCAAATGATTAATTAGTAAAGGCCCAATAAGATCAGAAAATTAAAACCAAGAGGAAGCAGCAAGCTCTCATAACTCATACCAAACTCTAAATTTTATTACTCAAATATTTTTTCTCTAGAGATTCTAAGCTGCTTATAACAAAGCATTAAACTAATTTCAGGAAGTCTGAGCTTGCACATGCATCTTTAATTTACTATCTTGTGGGCTTGTAGCTTTGGTGCATTTAATTGTTTGGTTAAGAAAATAAATGGGACTTACAATGCGGACATCAGCGGCTGTGTACTTTGAAGAGTCCACAACAGGCTCCTGTCTAGAAGGCAGCTGAAGCAGAAAAGGAAAAATCATTAAAGAATGAGAGAAACAAAAAAGGGAAAAATAGGAAGGAATAAGCCAAGACTTGGAAATTGGAAACCTTCTTAAGTGCT